ATGTCCATGGTAAAATTATCCAAAATAAACCACCGAAGTCAAACACCTTGTTTAAAAATTAAAAATAGGATAAATGTACAAATTAAATGGATTATTATACACAATATACCTAAATAATATAACTAAAAGTGTATTTACAACATTGATTATAATAATATTAAAAAAAAAATAAACAATCAATTTAATACAATAAAATAAAATAACACGCACGCACAAATATCAGGGTTTCCTTCGGGATTGGCAAACAAAGGCAGGAAACCTGTTGATCGAGCTGAAGGGCGACCAGCAGCAGATCGAAGCTGTCCTAGCGGTGCCGACATCGAAGTGAGATCTCTGCAGCAAAAGACAATGGTCGAAATAAAGGACCTGGATCAATGGTCCGATGGCGAGGAGGTAGCATGCGCCGTGGCGGCAGAAACCGGCGTCAACCGCGACGCGCTGAAGGTCGTTAGCGTCAGGAAGCGGTTTGGTGGTAACCAGACGGCTCTGGTGACGGCACCTACGTCGGCGTGCCAGAAGATGCTAGAACATGGCCGCATACGGGTCGGCCTAGTCAACTGCAGGGTTAAGCAGTGTGACCCTAAAGTTAGGTGCTTCCATTGATTCTCTTTCGGGCACAGGTCCAAAGAGTGTGTGGGCCCAGACAGGAGCGCATGCTGTAGACGCTGCGGTTCCTCTGGTCACAGAGCAGCAGGCTGCGAAGCCACAAGTCAGGAGGCAAAGGCGTTCGAGACTATGCTGGGCGCCGTCAAGATTAACCCGGCCGCAGTAGTGGAAGCAACCGCCGGTGGGAGTTCGAGCAACGCACCACCCCAATGATAAGCTTCCTACAGGTAGGCGTAGGAGTTGGCTGGGCGGCGCAGGACCTGGCCCTAGCCACGGCGGCAAAGTTGAACGCCGACTTCTTGCTTCTGAGCGAGCAACACCGGAGTGGTACGGAGCCCAATGGTTGGTTCCCCGACAGTCAGGACAGATCAGCAGTCGTGGTCAGGGACCAAATCCCAATAAACTAGGTTGACCCTTATGAAAGTGGCTTCCGCTGGGTTGAAGTTCCTGACCTCCGCGTGTATAGCTGTTATTGGTCCCCGAATCGCAACATTGCCGAATTCGAAGACTTTGTACTCAGCTTGGAGCAGAGCGTCAGAGCATCGACTCTCCCGTGCGTTGTGGCGGGGGACTTCAACGCCAAGCCGAAGCTTTGGGAAAGCCCGAAAGAAGACAAAAGAGGCGTTATCCTCGCAGACCTGATGTCCGCTCTAAACTTTTATGGGGGGCTCCCCCACGTTCGTACGTGGTCAGTCGGAGTCGCACATCGATGTCACTTTTGTCTCGAATTCCATCGGGGGCTGAGTGGCAGGCTGGAAGGTGCTGGACAGCGAGTCACTCAGTTTACACAAATCCGTCAGCTTCACGCTCCAATCGACCCTCCCCCCGACGGCTGGCAGTAGAACAAAAGCCAACAGGCTGGTCCACCCGGTCACTTAACGCGGAGCTACTGGCGGCTTCGCTGGCCGCCACCCATCACCCGGTCACACCACCAGCTACAAACAGCGGAGCTGGAAGCAGGGACTCTGGTGTCCTGGATAACGCAGGCAGCGGACAAGTGCATGTGAAGAAGTAGGGTTTTCTCGGGAAAGCAACCGGTGCACTGGTGGAGTCGCGAAATCGGATAGCTTCGGGGAGAGTGCAACAAAGCGAGGCGAATCTATCAGAGGAAACGCAAGCGGCTCGGAGAGGATAACAGCCCCACAGCCCTCGAACGGTGAAAGGAGCTGCGGCAGTCGCTGGCGGCCGCAATCAAGTCCGCCAAGGAGAGATGCTGGTCCGACTTGATTGCCACGGTGGACAGCGACGTTTGGGGCAAACCATACAAGATCGTTATGAGGAGACTGCGAAGACCTAGGCCCATCCCGGGCATCGAACTCCCCGGAAGGCTAAAGGGCATAGTCAACGGACTCTTCCCACAGTACCACCATGTGAAGAAAATATTGATTTTCAGTAATATTAAAATATTATATGAGATAATTGATTAGAATTATAAATCATATGATACTATAAATTATCATTTCAATAAATATTTAATTATACATGAAGATCACTGTAACAGTTCTTAATGTCGTTAGTGTTGTTACATTCGAGCTCAACGAATGAAAATATCAATATTTATCCAAATTAGTCGCATAAAATTATTTTTTAAACCATGAAAACAAAAAAAAAATTATTTAATTTTTTATTTAAAAATTAAGTAATAAAAATGTTTGTATCTAATGTATTTATTAAAATATTAATTGATTTAATTTTTTATACAAATAAATTTTATTTGTGACCATAAATTGTTACAATTGGATATTTATCACCGTAAAAGCATTAGAAGGCAAGTCCGTAAAATATTCACATAGGTAATGTTATATTTTATATTTTATTTTATTACTGTACACGTAATAGTTATGACATTTTTACATCGATAATAACATTATACATGTGACATTTAATACATTAAATAATAGTAAACATTAGTTAATCATTGTCTATGAACACTAGTACTTATTGGTTAATATTTTTAAGCAAACAGGAGCTTAAATTAATAAATAGCTTGCGACTCGATAGTTGGAGTCACGTACCGTGCGCTAGACAGTAGCAAGTCATACAACGACGACAACGGTCAACTACATTGATGCGAAACGTTCTGAACGACCGTCAGTGAAATAATAATGTACAGCTCCAGCGATTATAAAGCTCGGATCCTGTCGCGTAGACGATGGGCGTGGTTACGGTCTGTCGGGACGGCGGCGATACGGCGCACAACGCCATCTCTTGAGCGTTGTATATTTTTCATTTTTACCAGAACGGCCTGGTCACAGTGCGATTGTATTCTCGTTGCGTTCAATTATTAGGGTAGACTGATTTTCGATAATGACAGTAGTTATATCTTTAGCGATTATTCAAAAAAAATTGTAATGTATAATGGGACAAATATTCGAGGGATTACCCTAGGACTCAGATTTAAATACCACACGACCAGAAAAAATCAGAGGTCTTGAATAGAAGTATTTTAAAATTAATGATGCAGTTGCAAAATATAAAGTCTAATTTAGTCTTAATTAATTTAATTGGCAATTTTTTTTTTTTTTAAATGATATCCTAAGTAGGGCATCCGTTCAATAAAATACCAAGATACCTATTTTTTTGCATTGGAAACAAGAATGGCTACATTATTAAATGTAAAGATATAAATCGCGATGAAAAGAAATACTTCAGTTGACATTCCCTCATTTGTTTTTACCTACCAGTTTTCGCACCACATTTCGATGAGAGATGATATTGCAAGTTTTGAGCAGCTTTAAATATGTGAAAATAATAAAGCTTAGTCATCACCAATGGTGACTAATAATTAATGATAATTTAAGATTACATTAAAGTACTACCTCATATTTGATGGAGTATAAAGTAGAATCTAGGTAAATGTATGGTTCTAAAACATAACTGACATTATATTCACAAAAGTACCTGTATTTATGTAAAAATCAAAATAAGTAGGTAGTTGATAAATACTATTTTCATAACAAACCACTAGAAAAAAGCTTAATACAAAGATAATATAACTCAAATCGAGTAGTTAGTAAATCTGTATAATAAAAAATGTTTTCATTTTAAAAGCAAAATAAGTTTTAAAAGTTTCGTTTCAACATATTATGAATAAATAATTACATAAATCAAACAATTTTATTTAGAGAATAATACATAAAATAATGATCAAAAATAATAAGTTAATTAAGGTAATTTATTTATACCTTTTCTATTTCGGTTTTATTTTTTTTTTTATATTTTGAGATCAAATCATGGCAGAAAAGTTTACTCTCGAGTTCCCATGTGTTGTATTCGTCAGGGAAACCTTCCCATTTTATTAAGAACTCAAGTTTGCCATCCATCCGACGATGATTTACAATTTTTTCAACTGGGTATATATCTTCATCTGGTATAGTACTAGATACTACATCATCACTTTCAAGGACAGCGGGTATATTCATCCTGAAACGAATATAGATAATTTGGTTTAAAAACAAACACTAGTAATAATTTTATTATTCTATTATTAATGAGAATACATATTACTCTCATAACACATATTACAATTCATATTTTGATTTGAAAAAATATAATATAGATAAAAATAATTGTAAATATTTGATTTCTAAGACTTGAATGGTGAAATATATGGCTATATATATTTTCTATATCAATTAAGAATACAACGTCTACAAAGCTTTCTAATAATGTTAAACTTCATGCCACAGAATTAAACCTGGTGATTAGTCAATAATAATTAGCAACTTTAAAATTCATGGTATTTTCATGGTTAGTTATAAAAGTGGTTTCAAACGACCACTTTAAGATCTTCTTTAGAAGACTTTTAATTTAGAGAATACATTTAATACAACTATAAGGAATAAATTGTAAATTTTTTTTAAATATAAACATTCTACCAATATTCCAATTCAGCAAAACACATAACTAAAATAAATTGTATTTATACATAAATAAAAAATTATAAAATGTAAACATATAAGAGAGTTTAAATATTAGTTTACCAACTCCCCATTAATTAGTAAATACTTGAATATTGGATTTCTTACATTAGCAAATGTTACACCGTAATTGAACTGCTTGTTAGCAAAAAAAAGATTTCCTCACTAATAACATTTTTTACTCTCTCCAATATTTTTCTAGCATTCCTTTGTTCAATTACATACTACATCATTCTTATTATATCTGGAATATTATATATAATATTTAGGTATTAAAAGATTTAAAAAATGTTTACAACGCTAAACAATAACTATTAAATTATTTGAACTTTTATTTTCTATATACCAAGAATCTTTCAATAATTCTTTTATCATTAAAAATTAATCTAATAAATTATCCTATTCTTTTTCAATATCATAATTTTGTTACATTAATGTTTATATAATGATCATTAAATCTTTTAATAATAATTCATACTTAATCAATGTTATTATAAGCTTTGCTGTAAGTATTATCAACAAAATAAATAATTACACATTCAATATCACCAAAATATTTTTAATTTTATTTCATAAACAATTTTAATACAAAATTTAAACCAAATGCCAATCTCAGAAATCTAAAATTTCTAAATGGTATGATTAATCTGCAATATTTACTTGATTCTCCATCCAACATTATATGATAATTAGTGGCATACCTGTGTAACATTTTTTTTTTTTTTGGGGGGGGATGCATAAATTAATTGCACAATTTTTTATGGTTATAATATAATCTGAAACTTTATTATAAATTATTACTAAATACTTAAAAAATGAATCATATAACAAAATCTAAATTTCTTTTTTTACTGCCAGTAAATAAATCAATAACTTCATCAACTTCAAATGTTTTGTGTCTATGTTAAGCAAAGCTAACCCAACCAAGCGCTCTTCGCCCATGTTTGACCTTAACCAAGTTTTTAATCTATGATAAGTTTAAAAGTACAAAACAATACAAATTAAAATAAAATATAGCAATGCATGATGCTAAAGCATATAACCACATTATAAAACAGTGACTATAAGTGACCATCACTCCTAATCCCAATTTGGTCGAATATTGATATTTTATTTTACACTGATATTATTATTCTATTATTAATGAGAATACATATAACTCTCATCACACATATTACAATTCATATTTTGATTTGAAAAAATATAATATAGATAAAAATAATTGTAAATATTTGATTTTTAAGACTTGAATGGTGAAATATATGGCTATATATATTTTCTATATCAATTAAGAATACAACGTCTACAAAGCTTTCTAATAATGTTAAACTTCATGCCACAGAATTAAACCTGGTGATTAGTCAATAATAATTAGCAACTTTAAAATTCATGGTATTTTCATAATTAGTTATAACATTATAACATAACAGCATTATGACATAAAAAAACTTCTGGGGTAGGGGCAAATGCCCCTGTTGCCCCTACAACAGAAATTCCACTGATAATAATAACTATCTCTCTAGTCTAAATCTTGTTTGTTTTTTCTTAATCAAAAATACCCAACACAATTAAAGTACTTAATGTTTTGTTTTCAGCTTCACCAAAGTTGAATCCGTTATGTTTCTTTATATAAGTGTACTATACAATAAAATTTACACATTCATGCTGTTTACAACTAAAGAAATTAAATAATTACATTTGTTTTTGGAATGGAACAAGTTTCCAATGATTTTAAAATAGTTCCAATAGTATTTTTTCTTTTATTATTGTATATTACAATTTAAAATAATTATGTCCAATTAAACTTAAAAACCAAGCCACTTACACTCTATTCACTTTTTATTAGTTTCTGTTACCATTATGTATAAAGTTATTTTTCATATGATTATCTTAAAGTTCTGTAATAAATTACTAAAAAAGACCTTTTCTAAGTAATTTAACTTTTTAATTTTTTTTCTCTTGTATTATCCAATTAATCAAAAATTTTTAATTTAATTCATAACTGACTATGATATACTATAAAATTATATTTGTTTAAGAAATATAATAGTTAAACACCAGTTGTAATAAAAAACACTTAATAATAATAATAATAATAAGATAAGATTCAATATTATTTTTCATGGTTATTTATTGTTATTTTATTGTTTGCTATGAATTCAATAAAAATATTGGTGGTTAAATACAACAATTTAACAGGTATTATAACACATATATTTATTTCGTATTTCACAAATAATGAAAATATATTTGTAATATAACTATAACTATTTTTTCAATAAAATTTCAAATTCCAACCCGTTTCGTGTTATATTTTAGGTTTTAATAATACAATTTTTTTTAAATAAAGGTTTTTAAAATTTACTAATTAACTTTTAAAAAATAAATAAATTTTTATTTGCATATTTCAAATTTTTTCATGCATATTTTGTCTTTTTTGGCTCCTATCATTTCCAAACAATACTCATAAGCAATAAGTAGAGGCTAGAATAATATTATTTTAAAATAGCCAAAATAAGATGCTAATATTCTCTTATAAAGTGGAAAATATTCTTCCAATATTCATTAAAAATTATAATAAAATTTGCAAAAAAATATGTTTTTATATATTCTACTAATCAAAACTATGCTTTTGTATGCAAAAAAATAATGAACATGCACACAAAAATTGATAAATAGGTATAAAATAATTTTACTAATACTTAGATAACATTTTATTTATTTCATTAATGATGTATTTTTAATTAAGAATATTTTTGAAAACATTTGACAACCATATTTTGTTTCATGTGCTCTGGTGTGAAATTTGTCTGTTGAAAATGTACTGATATTCATATGTAATGAAAGAACGTGTGAGGTAAATTGAAGTTACAGGCGCATAATGCATATTAGTTATCATAGCCATTTGAAGAAATATCTATAATTTTTACATCATTATTTTCATTCAAAATTTTTGCTACGTTTTCAAAATTCAATCACACTAATATCATACCTACATATAATTTATAATATTTACGCCACTGCAACAATAAACATCAAAAATCTGTAAAATTAATATATATGTTCTGTTATATTCTTTAGAATACAAAATGTTCTCAAACATTAAAAAAAAAACTATTGCTATTAATGTACCCGTTTCTTCATGATTTGTAAAAATTTCAAACCCCTGTTTTACTGCAAGAGATCAAAAAATATATGCAAGAGAATATAATTCCGGCTTTTAGTCATAAGTTAGGTTATGTTATACGGTACCTCACGAGGTACTACACATTACTAAATGTTTTTTATAATATGAGTGGTTAACATTAATGCTGAGTTATTCAATGCATTAAAAAAATATAAACGTAATACAACAATTAAGTTTCTTTCGAAGGTACACGTGGGATAATCAATCAACGAAAATCGTGTTGGAAAATCCGTATGGACCATAATAAAACAAAAAAGTAGCAACGGGCAGTATAAAAAAAAAAAAAATTAAAAACAATAAAAATAAAATAAAAAAAATAAAGTTACCAACAGACATTTTTCGCGTCGACGATGGCGCGTGATCCGCGTGAACGCTTTCGTGTTTTTCTAGTAAAATAGTCACGAGCGCACATATAGCGAATACACAGACACGCGGAGAATCGGGTTTTTTTTTATTTCGTGATGAATAACGTAAATATAGTACTTACCGGGAATTGGAAGCCATTGATAATGAATTCGTATCGAATATTAAGCCGCGAAGTCGGTCCACTGGACAACCAGGCGAGTGAGTTGCTCAGAACAAAATGGCCAACTTTGGAATAGAAAATACAACGATGGTGTTCGATGATCATCTATAGACCTGCAAACAATTAACGTCATCTGATCTAGGTTAGATTTAGTGCGTCGGGCACGTGGAATAAAAAATCATACACCACGTTTTAACCACGGCCAGTGATGCCAAGAGCCAAAAATCCTCCGTCCGCATATATTTTATCAAATTACCGTATAGGACCGTACGTACACATTTTATCAAATTACGGTACAAAATCGTAAGTTAATAAATTTCATCGTGATAAATTCGTAGTTAAGTGATAACATTCACGTAATATTTATTATCAGTTCGAGTTTAACATCAAAATCAAAATATTATGTCAGTACGTAATACATGTTATATTCTAATACTTTATATCACGGCCGCGATTCAAGATGTATCTAAGGTATATCTTTATTTGTGATCATGGCTATAATAGTTTATACTCACTATTCAGATACACTATTAGTCCATTCAGTCTATTGATACTAGTACCTATAGCTGTGCTCCTAACACTCTATTGCTCGATGTGATAGGAAATATTGCAAGTGAATGGGATGACATGTGTGTTTAGAATAGATCAAAAGGTAAATCAAATATCAAAAATTAGTGTAATTACAACAATAAGTAACATACAAAAATAAGTATAAAGTAATATATTATAGTCAACAAAGAATAAAGAATAAAACAATAAAATATTAAGATGTATAATTTCCAAATTCTAATACTGTTAATTATATTTAGTATATTTAGGGTAAAGTATTATTATTTACCAATAATTGATATGGTGTAAACCTAAAACTATATGGTGTAATACCTAAAAATAATTCAAGAATTCAGAATAATGTTTTCATGTCGGTAAATAGAATTACCGTATTTATCCGTGTTTTTGACAGGTCCGTCCGTGGACCGTACGGACGGCAAAATTACTGTACCGCCCCAACCGAGACTGTACGGCTGGCAACACTGACCACAGTGCAAAAGTCAAATAAACGTATAACGGACATTTATTACACATTACGGCAGCAACGTAGGTGTGTGTGCGCGTGCGTGCGTGCGCGCGCGCGTGGGTGGGTATGGATTATAACGCCCGTTCGAATTCCATTGCTGTCCGAAATACCCCATGCATGTGTAAGTGCGCACCCCTAACCTTTTCGTCATTTCCGATGACTTTAAATTGTACGTACAGCTTTCGAAATTATTTCCGAATTTCTCCATTAACGCCACCATCCCCTCCTACCACATCAATGTCGCTTCGCGCAAGACAACCGCCGACACCACTACCACAACAATTCTCGCATCACGCTGCTCAACACACCGCCGCCCAAACAACCACTACTGTCTCCCGCTACATCTACCACTAATAATTATTTTATAGATATATTGAATAATATATCTATAATAATAAAAAATTATAAAGAAAACCAGAGAATGATACAAAGTACAAACTTTAGAAAACAGCGAAATAAACAGAAAGTATGCGGAAAACATTCGACAAAATCTTGAAAGAATTATCTTAGAAATCGCAGATAACGCTAATGACGATATAAACAGTAGATGGAGACTAATAAAACACGAAGTGACTAACAGCGCAAATGTGGCTGGCCAAATTTAATTTATAGTCTAAATCAGGTATGTGGCTCACAGCCAATTTTTTTAGTGGCCTACGGCTACCAATATCAATCAACAAAATAAAAAATGAATAGTAAAAAAATTATAAAATACGTTAATATGTGTTATATTCTGATAAACTGTAATCAGGTAAGTTTTATTGATGTTTATATATGTGTACATATATAATACAATTATTTTTATTCTTTTTTACATTTTTATGTGTAGAGTAAACAATTCGATATATTTGGTCAACTGGATATTTTGAGTTTGACATGCCAGGCCTAGGTTAATAACTATATATTTGATATTTTAATTTTCAAGATAGAGGGTAAAATTAATGAATTTATGTTAATTTTTAAAATATATAATTAGAAACCAAATAATTTAAATCTGTTTTTTGGATACCTACTTACTAAACAAAATCAATACAAATAAATGAATCAACCAAAAAAAGTGTAATTTCACTAATTGGAAGAACTGAGACAGTGACAATTATTCACATTTTATTAAAATGAATAAAGCTTAAAGTGATCACTGATTTATAGAATCAATTGTTTTTTGGAAATAAAAAAACTTGAACCAAATCTTATGTTATCAACTCATTACTGATGTTATATTTGCCTTTTATTCTTATCATTATGTACTGAATAATTGAATCACTTTTATAAACATTTATATCAATCTTATGATTTGATAACTGATAAAGTTATAAAACCAATTACATTCAAGAACTTATAATTATATTTTTATAATATAACTAATAAATAATTACAATTATTATAGTTAATAATTAAAGTTAAATAATATAAAATATTATGTTAGTTATATAACTTAAATTATTGTTGTACATCATATTAAATGTTTTGTTGTTGTTCCTAGTTTTAAAAAAGGTACTTAAGATATCGAGCAAACAGAAAGATAACATAAAAGAAATAAATAAATAATTTATTTAGGAAAATATTCTCAAAGAAAAAAAGCATAAATCTTGAAAAATTTTGAAATCTTCATTTTGCTAAATTTTAAAAAATTGTAAGCAAATTGTTGAACTCAGTGAACAAAATTTGCATCTTTGCTAAAAACGGAAAAATAATGGATAACATATTATTGTAGAAGAATGATTAATAAAATGATTTCAAAAAGCTAGATATTAGCTAGCTAGAAAAGCTAACTACTAACCAGTCAGTTATTTTATTTTAGAAAAAAAGCTAGTAGGAAAATGTATATATAATGTGTAAAATATAAATAACGATTTTAAATTTAATAAATTAGTTATACTATATAACTTTATTGTTTTTTATTCTTCTATCTAAAAAATAATTGAATAAATTATTACATACTTCCTAATCTAAATTAATGTTAACATAAGACAATGTTAAATTTAAAATTACTCTATTTTTACTTTCTTATTAGTATTCCATAGCATTCTTTAAAAACAAATTTAGAGTACTTAAAGAAATCTGATATTCAAATCTGTTGATATTTTATTTTATAATTACTTACATTATTATTAAATTAATTAATTCTATTTTTTTAGGACGACGCTTTTGGCATGGATGTAAAACATAGGACTATATGCAGTTGGATGAAATTGAAGAAACATCAGGTGTTATATGAGAAAATTTCAATGAGGCTAAAAGGTAAATTGAAATTTTACAGGAGTGTATTGAAACTAACTATGCATCACTATGGTTCAGAGAGTTGGGTGGTTAACAGAAGAATAGAACAAAGTATGAGTGTGGCGGAAATGAGAATGCTTAGAATGAGTGGAGTGGCAAGAGAAGATAGTATAAGGAACGAATATGTGAAAGGTAGTATTGGTGTATTATAGAAAATAATAATCAAATGTTAAAATAAATCCGTCATGTACTTTTTTGGTTAGCTAATTTCTCATCATTAAAAATATTACTTTTAGTATTTCATTAAATCAGCATTTCTCAAACTGTGGGTCGCGAGTCAATTTTTGGGGGTCGCTAGAAGTTTTTTTAACTATACAGATTGTAAGAAACAAGCATATTCATCACATACGCCTAATTATTAATTAAGTATTATATTATATTATATTATATTATATTATTATTATTATTATAAATATATTATTATTATTATTATTATTATAAAGTAGTAAATAAGTAATAAAATAGAAAAAATTTGTTTTTTTAAATTATTTTTATTGATTCTGTAAATGTAAAACTATGGTCATGATAGATTTTTGGAAGAAAATGTGGGTCGCGGTCCTAAAAAGATTGAGAACCACTGCATTAAATAATTAATATTTTACAATAAACACTGTCCATATCAGAAACAACAGATGTATAACAATTATGCTAAACAACTGTTTAACTATTTCTTGAGCTTAAATAAGAATTGTTAAACAAAAACAATTATTTCATAAATATTAATTTTAAATATAAAATTATAATTAAACATTCTTCATTAAAAATTTATCAGAATTTATTCTTAAAATAATTATTTACTAATATTTTTTAAAGTATTCTACAGTCATAAAGTTGTTAAGTCAAATACACTTAGTTTTGCTTAATTTAATCACAGCTTATTTGTATTACTGCTATTAATTAGCTAAACCTGAGACGTTCTTTCTTTTTTTACCATACATGAAGGAACAGATTACACAAAATTATCATTAAATAAATTAACTACTTTCCATTGCATAAGATAAATAGTTAGCATAACATTAGCCAAAAAAATTAATAATTATTTGGACTTATGAATGGAAATTTTAAAGTCATAAAGGTTTTAATACACTTCCTGTTAGTTTTAGAATTATGCATAAAAAAATTTTGATGTTTCATATGATATATGTATTTGATTAAAATAATACCTGATATATACTTTAATTTCAATGTTATAAATAATACAAAAAGTATTAAAATAAAAATATTGTTAAAAAAAAAAATTAGAATACCTAAATGTTGGAGTAAATTACTTTTGATTATCCAAAAATTCTAGTGATACTTTTTGACCAACATTAAGATCTATTAGGCAGAATGATCAATTAGTATTTTCTATTTTTGCATATGTAGAAGTAAACCAGATAGGTATTAGTAATAATTAAATTATGAATTTAATGAATAAATGTATTGATAAAATAATTAAATCTTATTCATAATTCTACTATTATTATTCGAAATATTATTAACAATGTTGTAATCTACATTATTTGACTCATGTATAACTCTAGAGCACACTACATGTACGCTACGAAAATGGATTAGGTACAACTTCAAAACGAACCATGCTAACAAATGTTGTAAACAGTTAAGTTCACCTCTTATTCTTTTATGTTTAGATTTAGTAGATTTACATAAACTGTTTGATCGATATATACGTGGGCGATAGATTAAGCTAATTAAAAATATATTCACAACTTATAAGTACATATTTAAAACACATACCATCCACAGTAGACAGTATTATAATCGATTATACGTAGATATTATGTTCACTGATTTCAAACACGCAATATTACAATATAAACGTAAAAACTATTAAAACTATTGTAGTCTGTAGAACGAACCTGAAGAACTTCAAAATCACATTAACCATTGAGTAATAACATTGATTATACATACTGGTGTGTATAATCAACCACAACACTACCAACTATCAACAGCTACCTATAATATAGTGTTTACCAACAGTAAAAATTAGTAAAACGGAAAAACTCATCGTACAGATTTTGATGGAATGTAAAAATGTTTCAGGTAATTAAAACGGCCGGTGATGGCACGAAATAGTAGAAGCCGTGACTTTTCATAGCGATTCCGAAGTACCAGTCACAAACCACTACTCAGATAACCCATTAATTGCTAATTTTTGTTTATCATGCATGGGGCTGATAGTGAATATAATATAAGTAGTCACTGCTACAATGCTGGTTTGTTGTTAAATAATTATTATCATCATATTACGATATCGGCATAATACATTATAATATATATATATAAGTAGCCAGTGTGCAACCAGGGGGGTGAACTCCGGGTCTGGACCCCCCCCCTTGGTACGTATAATAATATATTAATATCATATTCTAGATATATATATTATAATTTTTTATTATTTGTATATTAGTTTATTTTGTCAGACCCCCCCCATGAAAAATTCCTGATTGCGCTACTGTAAGTAGCAATCGATTGCTAATTTTTCAGTTACAACGTTAATAAAGCAGACGATTGTTTTAGGGGACACATGAACAAAAAGAATCGGTTCATAATTTCGACTGGTTATTAATGATAGCGCAATGTCGATACGGACTTGTTTATAAATTCACCGTGAGCGGTTCTCGATAAATTAAGGAAATATGGGTTTTAATTTTAGTGTAGATATTTATTGTTTATAATTTCATGTAGAAATAACGATGGTTACGTCTTTAACTTGAAGAAGTCTAAGTACTAAAAAATCTAGGAATTTAAAATCCTTATACCAAGAAAGAGAAGGGTTAAATAATAATGATTATTGTTATATATTGTTACGTTTTCATTTCAATAAACATATCTATGAAAAAAATGCTTTTATTTTATAATGAAAAAAAATATGAAAAACCTATTAATTTTCTAATAAGGAGTAATAACCGTAAGTTTATAATTCAATGTCTTGTACATTAATTTGAGGGGAATTTATATCTGCGGGGTAGGAGCACATTTTATTTGCCATATACCATGCGAACAAAGTCCACGCACGCCTACGATTATAATAATAGCAACTCCTAATGTTACTGAAAAAAAAATCACATTTTAAAATAATGATTTAGTTGATGTATAACAGTTAACGGACAACCATTAGACAACCATGATAATAACGTTTATCGTGTGGTTACATAGCATATAAATGTATCTTTACTACATATTATGTGCTTGTTCTACAATGAAGGCAAGGTTAATAGATTATAATTGAGGGAATGGATTAAAATTTAGTAAAAATTAAAAATATTTAAATATATATTTGTTTACTACTTCATAAATATTTATTTATAATATTGAAATATTGAAATTGGAAATAAGATATAATTCACTGTAATTTATAAATAATACATAACACAAAAATAAAAATGTTTATTCTGAATCATCCGAATATTCTTCATGGGAGAAACAATTAGAAATGACATATAATCAGTGTTGTGCTTTAGATAAATTTATCTAGATAAAAACTTCATATCGTTATCTTATTTAGATAAAAATTAAAATTGATATCTAATTTCCATCTAGATAAATTTATCTAGATAATTCACAAAATCTGTAGCTAATCATTAGTAATAACTTATCTACAATTTTATCATTCAATATAAAATAAATAACTTAATAAGAAATTTCACTTGTATATTTACTTGCAAGAATTGGTTCTAAAATAGTTTTACATAGCATTTATTATTATTTACGAACAATAACAATTTATTATGTATATAGATATATATATATTACCTACATAATATGCATAGGAGGTGAGAATTATTTATAATTTCATAGTATGGCCCATATGAGGAAGTCTAATGCCCGTATTACTATTGTTCTGTAGTATAAGCAGGCACGTAGTCAGAAAATATTTACTTGGTGGGCCCCCTCCTCCCAGGACTTTTTTATATTATAAAAAGGTAGTCATCAGCGTATCATTACTACAAATATACATGTATATAACCTAATAATATCATATTTTATCATTTTGCTCTTCTCTTTGTAATTTTAGTTTTCTTTTGGCACATCCACTGAAAGGTGCCATTTTAAAATTAATTTAAATATTAAATATATAAGATAAAATGTATAAATACTATAAATTGTACAAATATTAACGCAGGTGACGTTAGCATAAGTGCGGCGTACGCTGAATGTGAATGTAAGTGCCCAATCGGAGATCATAATATAATTCTATATTTCTATATGAATCAATACAATGACAATACCCTCGCTCAAAGTATTTTAAAAATATACATACAAGCAGGGCCGGAACTACGGGGTGGAAGACGGGGATTCATCCCCGGGCGTAACATTTTAGAGGGTGTAATTTTCGTAATTATTAACATCTAATTTGATATTTTTAACTTCGTTAAATACTGATATTAGGTTAAAACTCAATAAGTACGATTGTATATTGATTATAAGAATACAATTTATTTGAGTATTTGTTTATTAGTCTATGGATAGGGCGTAATTTTAACATTTTACCCGGGCGTAAAAATTCCTAGTTCCATCTCTGCATACAAGTATACAATAGTCACTGTCTATATATAATAAGAACAACTTGACATTGTAGTATAGTACCGGTATTTAGCTATAAATAGCAATTATTTCCTAATTGATCGTTTAAATTTAGTTACAAGTTACATTACTTAGATTATAATTAAAACCCGATGTATTTGGTTTAATTTGCGTCATATATAGGCAATATTAAAAATTTGGTAAAAATTAAAAGCAATCATGTAATAATGAGCCCATCTCAATACTTTAGGTGGGCCAGGCACACCCTGGCCCTCCTTTAGCAACGAGCCTGAGTATAAGAACGCAGAAAGAGCATTTACAAGAATATTAGAACCAAAGATAACGCAACATAGGTCTAAACTGGTTATTATTGCAGCTGCGCGGTAGATGGTTTATAAATAATAAAATATAGAAATAATTATCGATAAGAAAATAGCAATATTACAATACGCTTTACGCTGTACCATGATTTAAGATAATACTGGTTAGACGACGAGTGGAGATAATTGATTTTTTTGTGACTGGTAAACTAAATCGCCATATCAGTAGCTGCTATAGAACTAATGCATGTCGCTCCCAGTGTTTTTTTTGTGAACTAGATATTATCATTTTTCCCAGGCTATTAAAATAAGATTTAAATCGGGATGGCTTATACCCATTTAAAGCATGATTTAAAAATTAAGATTATATATATATATATATATATATATATATATATATATATATATATCTTAAATCATGATATAAATAGGTTTCTTAAACCATGATATTATAAAGCATGAATCGTTTGTATTGATACATCTAGTCATACATATAACACGATTTTTACAATTGCTTTTATCCATTTATATATTTACAAATATAATAAATTTTAAATATTATATATGAAAATGAAATGTTGTATTCCATTTTGCAATGAATTAAATTCTAGTACTTTTAAAGTACCTAAAAATTCATTTGATGTATGGTAAAATTCCCTAAACATAAAATTGAAATCAAATTCAAGAATTTGTGAGAAACATTTTAAAAAAAGATGTTATAAAGACATGGGTTTCAGGTAGCAAACAAGAGAACCAGTATACAGTATGTACATTTTATTATTATTACTATATTACTTCAATAGATACTTAAGTATTTTCAAATATCATTGTTTTTCAAATGTTAACTAAGCCATGTATAGCTATAATTTTAATTGTTTTAAGATATATTATAAAAGACCAAAACTTCGGTTAGGACCTATTCCTACGATTAGTGTTACAACAGAGCAAAATGTATTGACTGACTTATCAACTTCAAAAATGGTACTGTATTAAGTGTTATTTACTAAGAAACATATGATATGTAAATATAAATTAAACTTGTTAATTAAATAGCTAGGTGGTAATGAAGGTGAATCAATCGATTATACAGAAAGCAGTGATCAATCAATTTTTGTCAATTCTAATTGTAGTAACTCAATCTAATTGATGTCTAATAGTTGTACCATTCCAAGAAAAATAAAGGTATATTTAACATATTATTATTAAACATATTACAACCAAAACTATTAATAATTATTCTCATTTTGTTTCTGCGTTTTAAAAAGACTCTTGAATACACCCAAAGCAATCCCAGTTACTCTAATAATAGTAACTCATCTATTTATAGTGAACCTACAAATGTATTTGAATACTTAATAAGATCAATAAACATGATTAGTTTGCCATCAAAATGGTTTATGGATATTGATCTTGAACTTAAGGATCTAAAAAAATCATTTGTAGGATTTCACTAGTTGGGTGTCTGTAGAGATGATTTTTCAAGAGTTGTTAAAAAACAAATTATATTAACTGAAGGTATGTTTTTATTGATATAGATTAATTAATTAAATATTGATAGTTAAAAATATTATTAATAGATTGTAGTTTAATCATACATGTGCATGGTAAGTTAATAAACATTGAACAGATAGGTTTATTATCTAATTTCAAACCTGAAAATGTTAAATATTTAAAAAAAATTTTAATGTTATTTGACAAATTAAGAATTTGCAATGTGTCAGTATTAATTAAAAAGTATGCTGAAATTAATTCAAAATTAGGAACTCAGTTTGTTGAATCATTTAACCAATGGCGACATCGTAACTGTACAATTATACTCAACAATAGTACTAATGAAAGGTAAAACGATATTATATATTTACAACAAATTGTAATAATTGAAAAGAAACATTTTAATTTTAAGAAAATATTTTAATGATGAATGTATATGGTGTCAACGGCTGTGGTATTGTATAAAAACTAAAAAAACTAAATAAATTCAAAAGTGCACTTTTCACTAAATA